CATCGGCAGGCGCTGCGCCTACCGCTTCAAGGCCCCCCCCGAGCTCGGGGCCAGACGGGCTGCCAAGGTGCTGGGTTGTATGCGCCTTGGCCGTGGTGAGTGGCGCAAGCCGCGTGCTGCGACGCCTGCTGGTCACGAGGTGGACATCTTCGTGGCGCCGACCAGAACCGCAAGCAGGTGCTGCACGAGCTCGCGCTCAAAAAGCTTGCTGTCGCGCTGGGGCGCGTCATCGGCGACGGGCATCGTAGCTTCGTCGAGAAGCAGAAGTTCACCCTCACGTCCCAGTGGAAGGCCTTCCTCCGCCTCACCATCGACGGCCCCAACTCCACACTGGTGGTGGTTTGGTCCCCGTCGGCGCTGTCGGCACTTGGCTTGCGACGTGAGGATCTTGAGGCGACGGTAGAGGCGGCTTTGGCTCCTGATGATGATGATTGGTGTCTTTAGCACGTTCGTCAAGCTCTTCGCCGCCCCGATGAGCAAGGGGCTCACCTTCGCCACCTGGAATGCCAGAGCATTCTGCTACTACAAGGCGGACGTGGCGGCGCGCAAGAGCGAATACGTTGGGAAAGCGCTCCGAGCTGGGGCTATCGTGGGTATGCAGGAGATCCACGGGTCGGCCGCGCGCCTGCGTATGCTGATAGATCGCTTGGGGACGGACTACCAGATGTTCTGTTGCTTCGGTGACAATGTTGATGAGTCTCTTGGTAGCGTTGCCACCATCTTCCCCTGCAAGGTGCGCGCGGGCATGGACCTGCGCAAGACGTTGTGCATCAAGGCTCGGGTGATCCGTGCCACGGCCACGATCGCGGGCGGGCCCTGCGCTGGCTACACGCTGAAGCACTGGAACATCCACGACCAAGCCCTATCGCGCGAGCAGGGACGGCGTGTCTCTGGCGCGATCCAGGCCGATCTTCGTGAGATGGACCCGAGGAAGTGTTGCGTAGTGATCGTGGGCGACTTCAACTACGGCGAGAATGCGGAGGTGGAGGGCCCGCTGGTTCCTGGTGGAGGGCGCAGGGCTGCCACCCACCCGAGGGCGTGCTTGGACGCACGGGCTGAATGCTGCGACGGAGATGATCCCTAGCAAGCCGACGCGTTGGCACCCAGGCAGGCAGATCGCCACCGCGATCGACAATATTTGGATCGGTTCACCATGGCGGTTGCTCACGCAGACCTACCAGCATGGGCAGGTGCATGGCGAGCCCCACGAGATGCACCTCGACGGCCTCTCGGACCACGCGATGTTCTCGGTGGCATGGACTCCTCGCCCTTCCAGTAAGAGACCTACCACGGGCGTCATCAACCCTGTGCTGTCCTTCGTCTCTGAGAACCCGAAGTTCGGCGAGGTGATCTGGAAGCAGGAGCTCGCGATCCCCCTTGATGGTCTCTCTCCTCCTGATCGGGCACACTACCACACGAAGATCCTGCAGACGACAGCGGCTGCTACCAGAGACGCCATGCTTCGCGGGGGCCTGGTCTACGGTCGCCGACAGCTTTGACCTGGAGACAACTTGGTCGGGCGGCATGGCGGCAAGACATGCGGATGGCTGAGGCGCTACTGCGCCGACATGCATGGACGAGTCAGGTGATCGAGCTTCGCGATCGCCCAGGACATGTTGGACGACAAGTGGTGCTTCTACACCCTCAGGAGTTCTCTAGACGCTATCGGTTAGCGCAACACCACGAGATGCAAGCCCTACTCCGCCAGCGCCAGCAGGACATGGGCGGTGAGCTGCGCGAGTCCAACAAGGCAGCGATGGTCAGGCAGCAGAGGGCTCTACGACGGCGCGCGGCCATCTGGGCACCGTCGTCGGCGCGACGATTCCTGGGAGGCATCGAGCTGGACAATGGCACGGTCGCGCGGTCGGAGCAGGATGTCCAGAGGGCGCTAGCGAACTACTGGCGAGGCGTCTTCGGCGATGACGTGGTCAAGCGGAAGCAGCTCGCGGAGGACGGGAATGCGCAACCTTGCCGCCGGAGCCCAGTGCCCTTTTGTGGGCGGCGCGGGCACTGAACAGGGCGCCAGCATGAGCGGCGCCCCCGTGACCTTCCAGGACGGCGTCATGGTGCCCCTCCCCCGAGATGATCCTCGTGCTGTTCAGCGTCGACGGGAGCTGCAGGATGGCTATCCCCGACGCTATGGCATCCAAGGAGAAGACGGGGCCTCGCTCGAGCCCCCCTCGGCAAGCGCCATTGCCTTGGCTCTCCGCAGGGCCCGCAAGTCGGCACCTGGGCCAGACGGCCTCGGCGCCACGGCCTGGCTCGCCACGCCGCTGGGAGTCGAGGCGCTGGCGGAAGCGATGGCGCGGCAGCTTGAGGGCCTGCCCATGCGCCAGGAAATGAACTACTCCGTCGCCGTCTTCCCCGCCAAGGGGACGCGGGCTGATGATCCTCGAGAAGTCCTCAGACGTGCCAGTGAGACTCGGCCGCTGGCGCTGGAGAACACTTCCAATAAGGCCGTCATGTGGACCCTCAACGCATGCGTGAAGCGGGTGGCGGAGCGGCACTGCGTGGACACGCAGTGCGGCTTCATCCGTGGGCGCAATTTCTGCGACAATATCGCCGAGCTCGACTCGCACTCCCGCGCGCTGTCCTTGGCTGCTGGACAGGGCGACCCCCCCTTCCTCATCTCCTTCGACTGGGGCCAGGCCTTCCCGAGCATCGCGCAGGACTGGCTCTTTGGCCCGCCGCGCGCCATGGCCGCGCCCCAGGGGCTTCAGGGCGCGCTGAGGGTCAACTACGACGGGGTCATCTCCCTAGCGGCCTCACGCACGAGGGCTGCGCTCTATGCGGTGCGATCGGGCATCCTCCAGGGCGACCCCGCCAGCGGCGCGCTGTTCGTCCTTGCCGCCCAGCCGTTCGGGCAGGGCCTGAAGGACCACCTGGGCTCCAAGCTTCGGGGTATCTCGAGGCGGTGCGCCGACGACCTGGGCGCGGCGGTGATGGCCCACTGTGGCCTGATGGCGCTGGCCCGCGTCTTCCGTGGCGCGAAGCTCCTGGCGGGCCTGGTGATCAAGCCTGCGAAGTGCTTCGCCATCCCGCTGGGAGACCCGCAGCGCTCTGACGCGCAGGAGCGGGCGAGGGACACCCTGGTGGCTGCTGACCAGGACTGGAAGGTGTTCCCCATCGTGGACCACCTCGAATACTTGGACGTGCTGCTGGGCCCTGGGGTGGCGCAGGAGGCAGAGTGGCGGGCGCCGATGAGGAAGCACTTTGATCGCGTCGGGGAGATCTCGAGGAGCCGTTCGTACACGCATGCGGCCATCCTCCTCTGCACGGAGCGCTGCGCGCCCATCCTGTCGTACAAGGCGCAGTGGCTGGAGGCCCCCGCCTCCTTGAAGAGGCTCGAGCGGGGGAGGCCGGCGCGCCTGCTGCGCCTGCCAGGCAGCTTCCTGGGCGATGGGGAGTGGCACAAGCTTGCCGCCATCGGCGGCCGCTGATCCCGTTGGCCACGACGTGGCGCGAGGCGGCCCTCGTGAGGGCGGCGGTGGTCACGCTGGGCTCCTGGCGCGCGGCTGCGCGGCAGCTCCGCGGGGCCGCGTTGCAGCGCCTGCCCGCGGTGCGGACGGTCCGCGGCTGCCCGTGGCCCAGCGGGTGGCGATCGGAGGCCATCGCGGCGACGCTGGAAAGAGCGGCGTCGAGCCGCGGGCGGAGCCCCCGAGCGACGGCTGTTCGCGCCCTGCGCGCGGCCGCCGCCGACGAGGCTCGCCGCAGGCGCGCTCGCCCCGCCGCAGAGGACGGCTGGCGCGAGCTCTGGCGGCGCGTGCGGTTATAGAGTCTTCTTTACTCCTCCCTCCTCCGTTCGTCTCTTCGTCGCGTCCCTCCGTCTCCTCCTCGCCTCCATCTCCGCCTGCAGGAGCGTCTCCAACGCTGGTTTGGGGTCCACGCTGCCGACGCTGAGGCGATCGACTGGTCGGCCGTCGCCTCGGCGATGCATCGCACCCCGCCTTCCTGGCGCAGTGCTTGCATTAAGACGTGGGGCGGGGGCTGGATCACGGAGTCTAGGATGCGTAACCCGTATAGGCGGTGCTCTTGGGGCTGTCCTTGGGCTCGCGACTCTTTAAAGCATTATTTCCGTTGTTGCGACCCGATGTATATGCTCGCCCGTAGGCAATTAAGAGCTGACCTCCCCGCGCCCCCGTTTTTGGACCCCCTCCTGGCTATGGGATTGATCCACCCCGCCCCCGAGACGTTCAAATTTCCCGCTTTTTATTATCATCTTTATCGGTTGGCCCACCAAGAGAGTAAAGCCCATGCGCTCCCGTTCTCTCAGGAGGCCGCCCAAAGCCTGGCGCGAGCCGCCCTCCAAGCCGTCGAACTGCCCCTCGGCCAATCGGGTCGTCGGCGGCGTCGTCGGCAGTAGAGTGGTTGAAGACGTTGCCCCCCAGACGCTCCAATCTCCCTTTCCAGGACCGTGCGGTTTTTTCATCGGGAGCCTATCGCCGATCTACCGGCTGTGTGTCGCCGATTCCAGATCGACGGTTTTTCCCCTGGGCCGGTTCCCCCGAACGTTCCCCTGAGAAAGAGATGTTTCTGTTCTGGACGGGGGGGGTTCTGGCGTTTGTTCGCCGTCCTGGGGCCTTCTGTTTGGAGATAGGGTTATGATGGAAAGGTGATCCTCTCTAAAGCTCTGTGACCCAGGGCCCGTTTTCACTTGCTCCGTTATGTCATGCTATATGAGGGTCGTGGAAGGGCGAGAAGGGGGAGGAGGAGGAGGAGGAGGAGGAGGAGGAGGCAGCAAGAAGAGGACCAGGAGGAGGAGGGAGAGGGACAATGAGGAAATAAGAGGAGGATGCTTCTGAGGGGGAGGGGTGAGGAGAAGAAGCCAGGATCAAGGAAGCAAAGAGGACGATGGAAAGCCAAGTGATGAGCACAGAGAAAGGCAAGGATTATGAGGAAGGGGGGGATGAGAGGGACGATGAGGAGCGAGGGGGCCTGGACATGTCAGTGTCAAGGGCAGTTGTGCTCAGCGCGGCTTCGGTTCCCGCCGCGGCCAAGAGGAGCGGTCCCTGGGGTTGCGTCTCGAGGACCGGGTGCTGACCAGGTTCACCAAGCCAGAGGCCGAGGCGACGTGGCTGGGGCCCTGTCCCCGCCTCCTGGCCCCTCCTGCGGGGCGCTCCAGAAGATGGGCCTCACCTCCGATGGGGTCGAAGAAGTGTGCCTCTCCTCGTCGGCGGAGGGCAGGCCGAAGCAGCATGTTCCATCGAGGCTGCTATCGCCAGACCTTCGAAGAGCTGCTCGCACTTCGCCCTCACCGCGCTCGCGTTGGCAGGGTGCGGCTGCGGCCAGCGGAAGTTGGCGGAAGGAAGTCATGCGCCCCCAGGGATGCCAGCCTTTCAGGGGTTCGTAGAATCTGGAATCTGGAGTCATTGGAGAAACCATTACCTCGTCCCCAAACATCAGCGTTTACTAAACGGCGCTGGGCGTTAACTAGACAGCCCTGCTTCTTCAAATCCTTCGTTGAGTGCATTTACTAAACGGCTTCACTTGTCGGGGTGCTATTCTGAGGGTTGTTTTCAGCTTTGGACCAAGGGGTATCAACCTTTTTTAGGCTTCGTAGATTCTGGAGTGGGCCATGTTCTCCGGCGCCCCGATTGCTTCAGCCAGATGATCGGGTGTGGGACGGTGTTTTGGCATCATTTTCGGCGATTGGTGACCAGGGGTGGATAAGCGTGGAGCCGTTAAGTTGTGTAGTAATAGAGGCAGGCGCCTCACACGTACGCAAAAGCTCTCATCGGAGCAGGATATATTGATATGAACGTTCTTCGAGGTTTCCTGAACAACGAGGATGGTTGTGGAATGTTGGCCAGGTGTGTGGCCAGACCAGATGAGAGTACATACCGAACTCCAGTGCCATCTTGACCGTCGGTCGCCACCCCCTCACACACAGGCACGCAGACGCAGACGACCTCCGACATACGCAGTCGCGTAGAGATAGCCTAGCAGACAGACAGTCAAGGAGACAGACAAGTTGAGCTGCAGACAGACATGGGGGCAGGGAGACACATAATTCCACAGGCTGGCAGGCAAATCTCCAAACATACGCAGACAGGCAGGCAGGCTGGCCGAGATGCAGGCAGGCGGCGCGCATTTCGAATTTGCCGCAATTTAGATTGGATCGTGGCTTTGGGAGCGCGGGCGCATTGATCGTTGCTTCGGGTGCGCAGTTCCATCGAATTTCCCGTGTCCATGGGCGCCTGGGAGTTGAGGGACCTTGATCATGTAAACCAGTTTTTGGAGCCAGGGGGGCCGCGCCTTGCAACCTACCAACCTTGAAAAGAGGAAACTTGAGCTATGAAATCCGAAGCCTTGGATCGTGGAGCTGCTCTTGAGCTGGCAGTGGAATTGAGGAGCTGATGATTTGCGCGGAGCAAAAAGCCTCGCCCATATAGTCTGGTGGCTCTGAAGGGGGCCGGCGGATACACACAGATCGCGTTGCGAATGGCCATCTACAATAAGCGCGTCGTGTTGCGCACGTTGCTTTTTCACGGTGCAGTCAGTGATGATGAGACATGCGTTGAGAACGGCACTGGTGCTTCCGGATCTGTCGCCTCTGTAGATCGTGCCGACACTAGGTAGGATATTGCAAGAGTTTGATCAACCAAGAAAGTATAGTTAGGTATATCAGGACATAGTGCCTCAATGCAAGTATTCTGCATAACAAGTAAAACAATCATCATCGTCATCGTCATCGACATCATTGTTCTCATCGTCATCATCTTGGCACACCTCTCACACACTTCGTGGCTCCATAGGGAGCTCCACCTCCAAGGCCCCGGTGGAGACTCGCTGCTCGGCAACGCCCCTACGGCCGCCATTGATTCGAGATTGAGCTGATCGTCGCCTAGGGGCGACCGATGATTCTTGGGATGATCCGCCCAGGAGGCATCCAGGAGGTCAGTCGACCTCCCAGAAACCGTGGACCTTCATTCGAACCCTATGTCTTTACATGATATTGTTTGCGGGAACGATCTCCGGGAGTTGCTGGGGACGTTGGGTAACTCGAGACATGTTTACAAATAGTGTAAGACATGTGTGAGGATTCATGTAATTTGATATTGCGTCGTGTTCCCAGCCCCGGTTCAGCCCGGGCCCGCACTGGATTGCGAGCCATGAAATCTCGCGTCGGACGAGGGAAGCAGGAGCTTGGCCGAGGGTGCCCGAATCGCCCCGAGCAGCCGCAGGCAGCCCGAGCTATGGCCCGAGCGCCACTCCGAGGAGCAGGAGGAGGGGAAGGAGCGAGAGGTGTGGACCTCATGTGTGGCATCAGGAACTCATGGGACTAGTTTACTGGGGTGGCGCCGCTTTGACCCCACAAAGTTGTAGCATCACGGGCGCTCTCAATATATGCATATGTATGCTGTAGATCTGCACATTCCGGTTTCTTTGTTTTGACAGGGCCAGGGACCACCCCCCGCGAACGAATTTCGTCTACTCTCGGGCGCCCAAGAGGCCCCCCAAGACGGCCCCCAAGAGGTCCCATGCGGTTCAAAGACGGCCCAAGAGCGCTCCAAGACGCCTCAAGATGGCTCCACGACAGGTCAAGAGACTCCCCAAACGCCTCCAAAAGGCCCTCAAGTAACTCCAAGACGGTCGAAGAGGCCGCCCCAATACGCCCCGAAGTGCCCCAAGAAAAAGCCAAGCAAGCCAGAATCGTTCCATTCTTTCGGGCAACTGGCGTGTTTCGCCATACTCGCTTTCTTGTTTTCCAAGCCTCCAGAACGGTTCAAGAGGCTCCCCAAATCGCCCCGAAACAGGTCCAGAGGCCCCCACAAAGCCCCAAGAGGGCCCCAAGACAGCCCTAAAGAGCCCCGCGACGGCCGAAGATGGCCCCAAGACGGTCCAAAAGAGCCCCCAGACGGCCCAAGACGGCCCCACGAGGCTCCCAAGAAAACCCTAAGACAGCCCCAAGAAACCTTCAGCAGAGCCCCACGAAGGCCAGAGCCTCCCAAGACAACCCATAAGGGCCCAAAAACGGTCCAACCGGGCAGGGCCTCTGAGAAAACCCTGAAGCGCCCCGCACGCGCCGCCCCGCACGCTGCAGCTACAAAAGTGTGGCTGAGCGCCCGAACGGCCTCGTCCTCGCTCACTCGGTACAGCGCGTGCGCGTTGGCGCACCGGTCTACAACTGTGCCCTTTAGTTCTTTCGCATGTCTGACTCACCGTCACAGGGGTGGCGTTGCTCCCTGAAGAAGATTACGCCCACGCAGTGAAGGTTTGGCATTTCTTCGTCACCGACGTCATTCGCGGTAACACGGTATCCTTGCCGCCCCAACAAGTTTCCAGTAGAGCCCGAAAGGTTGTCGAAGACCACCAGAAGCCGCAACAAGTTCACGCGAGATTTCCGGAAAGCCATTCAAGGAGGAGGCCACGCAAGAAAATTTGAAAATGGTAATTGGGACGCGTTCGCAAACGACGAGTGAGAATGAAGAGGAAACATGAGGGACAGGTGATATATATATATATATATATATATATATAACATATGTGCAACAACGCAGGTGTTTATGGCAAAAAGGGGATTTCGCCCTTTTGGGTATTCTTTCTCTCTTTCTCTCTCGTTTTCTCTCTCTTTCTCTCTCTTTCTCTCTCTCTCTCTCTCTCTCTCTCCCGCGCCCCGCCTGCCGCCTTCGCGCCGATCCTGAACGGCCAAGGTACAACACAGATATATACATATATACATCATGAATATGTTTACGACGACGGTGATACGGATGATGATGCTGATGATGGTGATCATCATGATGATCATGATGATGACGATGATGATGATGACGAGCACGACGATTCATTAACGCCATCATGATCCCATCGGTGATGTAGCTAACGTGTGTGTTCAAGCCGTTGCTAAGCAAGTGGTCTGCCGAGTGTTTTTTTAAGATGGTCAACCTTTGCGCCAATGTGGAATGCAAATTCGGCAAAAAGGGTAAACTCGCCAACGCGGAACCTAAACTGCGCTGCTGCATCTGTGCACGCATGGAGCCAGATACACAGCCGACCAATGGAAAGCAGTGCGGCGCCGTGGTCACAAAGATCGTCAGCCTCCAAAAGGATGGGCGCAACGATGCCGTGAAGCGGGCCCTGGACATGGTCAGCCTGCGCGTCAGTCGTTTAAGGCCTCTACTTCGTTCAAACAAAAAACGCAAGCGTACAGTATACTTAACACTAACAATCACAGCTCTTATTTTCCAATAAAGAATAATTAAACAAATACGTGAATCTAATAAAGTCACATGGCCTTCTCATCCAGCGTAACAAGAAATACGCAGCAGGAGGAGTTTGCGCCAAAGGACGGGGAGCCGCCCATGGAGGAGGAATCATCAAAACCGAATCCGTCGCAGGAGACGCGCGGCAGGCTCCTGGGGGATGTCCTGAACCAGGGCGGCTTCGGAACATGCTCCGAATGCGCCCTGGCCACTACCTCAAGCCACCTTTTGTGAATAGAGAGGGGGGGGGGCGGAAAGAGAGAGAGAGAGAGAGGGAAACATGATACATAGGAGGCGGAGGGGGGAGATGAATCAGAGAAAAACGGCTGCGGTATAACGAAGTGCGTGAAGAGGGGGAGGATGGATATTTGGAGGAGGAGGGGGAGGAGGATGAGGAGGAGGAGGAGGAGAGGAGGAGGAGGAGGAGGCGAAGGAGCATGGCCACCAAACCCTATTATTCACAGTTTTTGTGTTGAACAAAGGCCTGGTATATCGCCAAACCCTACTATACACAGTTTTGTTTGGGGGGTCAGGAATCTTGTAAAGTTGGGCACGAGAGATTTCGGGAGGAGCATGGCCGCCAAACCCTTATGTCCACATCTGGTTGTTTTTTCATGTATGGGGTGCCACCCCACCCAATTCTACACAAGTCTGTTTGATTTGTCTTGGTTTCAGGAGGTCAGCAATCTTGGCCTGGCATGTATAGTAGGGTTTGGTGTGGTCGCAGACCTGAAACAAAACTTGTGTGTATAGTAGGGTTTGGTGGCCGTGCTCCTCCCGCAAGCTCTCCTGGCCAAGTTTGCGGGCTTCCTGAAAAACCAGAAGAACCAAACAAACTTGTGTATAGTAGGGTTTGCTGGCATCCCAGACCTGAAAAACACCGTGTATAGTAGGGTTTGGTGGCCATGCTCCTCCCGCGAACTCTCCTGGCCAAGTTTGCGGGCCTCTTGAAAACCAGACAAACAAAACACATGTGTGTATAGTAGGGTCTGGTGGCATCCCAGACCTGAAACAACGAGAACACATGTGCATAATGAGGTTTGGTGGCCATACTCCCCCCGCAAGCTCTCCTGGCCAAGTTTGCGGGCTTCCTGAAAACCAGAAAACTAACAACCACAAGAACTTGTGCATAGTAGGGTTTTGTGGTATCCCAGACCTGAAACAAAACAAAAGCAAACCTCTGTATAGTTTGGTTTGGTAGCCATGCTCCCCCCGAAAGCACTCCTGAGCGGGAGGAGGAGGAGGAGGAGGAGGAGGAGGACGGACCAGGAGGGACAGGAAGAAAGAGGGGAGAGAGACCGAGAGAGAGAGAGAAAGAGAGAGAGAACGAGAGAGAAAGGGAGAGAAAGAAGGCACCGAGTGTGGTAGGGGAGTCGCTGGGGAGAGGGGGCTGACCATACATATAGATTCATCTGTATCTGTATATATATATATATGTATACATATGGTAGCCCCCCAAAAGATCATACATCTCTCTCTTCTTCTCTGTCTCTGTGAGTATCCATCTCTCTTCTTCTTCCTCCCTCTCTCCTCCTCCTCCCCCTCCTCTTCCTGCTCCTTCTGTGGATGGCCTTGCCGAAGGAGTTCCTATTGAAAAACCTTACATGGGGCTGCTCCCTGAAGGAAGCCATATGACAGCACAGATATTCCTGATGTTTGGGGTGGTTTTCGTGCGGAGGCCATGCATGTACAATGCAGATTTTCCTATGACACCCTATGACAAGACATATATTCATGATATTTGCTGGTTTTCCTGGGACGGGCGCCCCCCCCTCCTGCTCCTTCCCCAGGTCCACGCCCCCCGGGGACAATGCGCCAGACAGGAGCACATATGACAACACAGATATTCTTAATAGTTGGGGAGGTTTTCGCACGGAAGCCCTGCGAAAACACACATATATTCTTGATGTCGTGGATGGTGTTCGTCAGGAAACCATGTGGACGCATTGACATTCTTGATCCGTCGGATGGCTTTCGCAAGGGAACCACATGAAAACACACACATATTCCTCTTCCTATATTTTTATAAGCCCGGGCGGGGGGAAAACCCGTCACCCCCCCCCCCAAAACTGGACTCCCGGGATCTGGGGCTTTGGAACCCTCCGGACGGGCCTCGAAGCGGTCCCCCGGGCCTTGCAGGGCGTTTTGACAAGCCTTCGCAGCACACCTGGGGCGATCAGGGGGGTCATCGGAGACGTCCCAGAGACCCCCAAGACAGCACAAGAGCGCTCCAAGAGTGACCGACGTGACCTCAAGATGGTCCAAGAGGCCTCCAGGACGGCCCCAAAGAGGCCTCCAATAGCACTCCCAAGAAGGCCCCAAGAGGCAAAACTCATTAGTTTTCTGTGGGTTTTTGGTGAATTTTGGGGTTCTCCTCTTTTCGGCTTCCCGACGCTCCAAGACGGCGGTCTTCTGGGCGTCCGAAGCCGCCCGGGAGGCTCCAAAATCGCCCTACAAACATCCGAAAGGGCTTCCAGGCAGTCCGAGAGAGCCCCAAAACGGCACAACACGGGTCCAAGATGGCCCTCAGGGAGCCCCATGGCGGCCCAAGATGGCCCCTAGACACCCTCCGAAGCATTCCAAATCGTGACCCGGTCGTTCAGGGAGACCGCGGTTGGAGGCAGGGTGGCCCGAGGAAGCCCCCAGAGGCCCCCAGAATACACCCTGGAGGTCTCTTGAAAGCATTAAGAAAGCCTGAAACAACTTTTGTGAGGCCTCCAGAGGCTCTCCAAGGAGGAGCCTCCGCAATCAAGAGCTGAGGAGGATGGGGAGAATGCGCAGGGTATGGCGAAAATGAGGAAAAGAAGCATGGAGGAAGGATAACGAATCACATTATTATAGCGGGGATGCCGGAAAAGGCAACAAGGAGTTATCGCTAATTTGTCGGCTTGACCTTCCTGCAAGTTCGCTTGCGTACCACACTTCCAGGACCAAGGTGCATGGCGCGAAGCGCCACTGCAGTCTTGTGTGTGTATATATATATGTTGTGTAATTGGGCGGACGTCCCTCCTCCTCCTGTGCCCCCAGCCTCTTTTGCAGCTCGCCCGCATCCAGGAAACTACACACTAGTAGCAGGACTATATGTATGTGTACCGGCTTCCCTTACAAACGCTTTTAATAATATCAAGAACATATGTGTTTTCACATGGTTTCCGTACCCAAACCTTTGAAACAGATCAGGAATATATGTGTTTGTTTTGTTGACCAGGCTTCCTTACCAAAACCTTTACACACATAGTGTTTTTTGGGGGTTTCACGAGGTTTCCTTACCAACGCCTCATGGACTCCTGTGTGTTTGTCCTGGACAGCAGACCTTGATCAATGGATTTCTATTGAACAGATCCGCACAAGGATTCTCACTGAATTGCTCCACAAAGGGATTCTTGTTGAAAGGCTCCACAAAAAGGATTCCGGTTGAACTGCTCACAAAGGGGTTCCCATTGACTTACTCCACAAAAGGATTTCCATTGAAACGTTGCAGAGCGGGAGAGCGGGAGAGCGGAGAGAAGGATTCAAATTGAAGTCCTCACCAAAAGGGTTCCATTTGAAATTTTGTTCAAAAGGATTTCATTGGAAGTCCTCTTCAACCGGATTATGTTCAAGTTCTGTTCAAATGGGTTAAACACAAATCTTCTTCCAAAGGGATTCCGATTGAAATTTTATTCAACAGGATTCCGATTGACATGTTATTTCAAAAAGGATTCCCATTGTAATCTTGGAGAGCAAGGGAGCATGAGAGCGGGAGAGCGGGAGAGCGGGGGAGCGGGTGGGCGGGAGAGCGGGAGAGCGGGAGAGCGGGAGAGCGGAAGAGCGGAGAGGGATTTCAATTGACATATTGTTCAAAAGGGTTCCAATTGTGATCTTTTCCAAAAGGGTTCCAGTTGAAATCTCTGTCATAGGAACCCTTTTGACAGATATTCAATTGTGTTCCCTTTGAAGACGATTTCAAGTGGAATCCCTTGATGTAGATTCCAATTGGGCTCCTTTTTGAAGAATATCACAGTAGGACTCTTTTTGCTGAGAATTTGAATCGGATTTTTTTTGCTGCGGATTTCAATTCGGATCCTTCTCTCCGCTCTCTCGTGCTCCCGATCTCCCGCTCTCTTGCTCTCCGGGATTTCTGTAGGAATTCTTCGGAGGGGGATTCCAATGGATTTTTGTGTCGGTTTCAAGTGGTATATATTTGAGGAGGATTTCAGTTGGAATCCGGTTGACGAGGATTTCAGTTGGAATCTTTTCGAAGAGGATTTCGACAGGAATCTGTTGTGCGGATGATGTCACTTAGTACCCTTTGGATGAGAATTTCAATGAGAACCCTTTTGATGCGGATTTCAATTGGAACCATTTTGAGGAAAACTTCAGGAAGGAACCCTTACGAGGATGATTTCAATTATAATTCTTCTCTCCGCTCTCCCGCTCTCCCGCTCTCCGAAGGTTTAATTGCAATCTTTTTGAGGAGGATTTCTAGTGTAAGCCTTTTGAAGAGGATTTCCACAGGAATCTTCTTGAGGATGATTTCGCTTGGAATCCTTCTCTCCGCTCTCCCGCTCTCCCGCTCTCCCGCTCCCACCACTCTCGCGCTCTCCCGCTCTCCCGCCGCCCCGCTCCCCCGCTCTCCCGCTCTCCCGCTCCCCCGCTGCAGAATTTCAATGGAAATCTGCTTTGCGGGGACTTCAATTGGAATAGGGGACACGAGGGGGACACAAGGGGACACGAGGGGACAGCAGGGGACACGAGGGGGACACGAGGAGACAGCAGGGGACACGAGGGGACACGAGGGGACACGAGGGGACACGACAGAGGAATCGCACACCAGGGTGAATGAGGAGAAGGATGATGCGCAGACATAATGAAAATAAACGCTGTGAAGATGAATAGGAGGGAGATGGGGATGGATGCGAGTCAAGGCGAGATGTATGATCTTGGGGGCGCAACGCTATATAATATATTAGATTATGTATTCACATACAGCTCATACGATCATGTTAAGACTCATAATCATATGGTGATTGTGATCCGAACCATACTCAGGTGTGCTGATGTGCGTTGCTGCGTGCGCTTGACAAGGCATGACACACCCGCAATGTACGCGCCGACTCATGCTGAGATCCACGACAGTCCGCCAAGTTACAACACGACGAGCCGGATTATAGGATTCCATGGCTCGTTGGGCCATGGCGAAATTGGCGACCCGCAGGGCATGGGCTGGAAGCTGGGCGACTGCATCATCGGCATGCGAGCGGGCCCAGTCCAGACTCAGGACTGTCTCTGGGAGGAATCGCTCCTCCTTGGAGCCTCCCCCGTCTCTCTATTCTCATCCTTTGCCTTTCCCTTCTGCTGCTCCGCTGGGGAAGCCGGCTGGGGGGTCCTGCGGAGCGAGGCACCGCGCGGATTTGAGCGGGACTCGCCGTCCCTGGGGTGCTGCGATCTTCGAATCTGTCGCCACTTTCGATGGCTGCTGGTGGGTCCTGCGGAATGAAGCACCGCGCGGGCCTGAGCGGGACCTCGCCATCCCTGGGGGGCTGCGATCTGCGACACTGTCGCCACTTTCGAGGGCTGCTGGTGGGTCCTGCGGGGTGAGGCACCGCGCGGACCTGAGCGGGACCTCGCCATCCCTGGGGGGCTGCGATCTGCGACATTGTCGCCACTTTCGAGGGCTGCTGGTGGGTCCTGCGGAACGAGGCACCGCGCGGACCTGAGCGGGACCTCGCCGTCCTTGGGGGTTACGATCTGCGAAATTGTCGCCATTTTCGAGGGTTGCTGGTGGGTCCTGCGGAGTGAGGCACCGCGCGGGCCTGAGCGGCACCTCGCCGTCCCTAGGGGGCTGCGATTTGCGACATTGTCGCCGCTTTCGAGGGCTGTTGGTGGGTCCTGCGGAGTGAGGCATCGCGCGGGCCTGAGCGGCACCTCGCCGTCCCTAGGGGGCTGCGATTTGCGACATTGTCGCCGCTTTCGAGGGCTGTTGGTGGGTCCTGCGGAGTGAGGCACCGCGCGGATCTCAGCGGGACCTCGCCGTCCTTGGGGGTTACGATCTGCGAAATTGTCGCCATTTTCGAGGGCTGCTGGTGGGTCCAGCGGAGCGAGGCACCAGGCAGATCTGAGCGGGACATTGCAATCCCTGGGGGGCTGCGAGCCTCACGAATGCCGTTTGCAGAAGTATATGCGCCCATTTCACGTCATCACCTCCGTATAACGTCTCCCAAGCTACTCATGCCCCGTGTTGCGCAGGGGTTGGGTACGTCGCTAGGGTAATTCCTAGGCCGTCCTGTGGCCGTCCTGGGTCGGTTTGGTGGCTTCTGGGGCCTATTGGCGCCCATGTGGGCTGTCTTCGAGTCCTTTGGGGAGCGTTTTCGGCTCGTATTGGGTCGATCTGGAAGGCTTCTTGGATTGTTGTGGGCCTCGTGAAAGCCGACGACGCGACCGTGCCAAAAATGTATGATGTCCATAGAGAATGAAACGCTCTTTGCCTCTGGAAAGCCTCTCGGGACGTCTCCAGGCGGTTTCTTGGGCCGTCTTGGGGGCCTGTAGGAGCGCCCGCCGGGAGGCAATCTGGAGCGCCCTGGAGCGATCTCTCGACGACTCGTAGCCCTCGTTGGCCGTCCAGGTGCCCCAGGATGTCCCGAGAGGCCTAGAAGGACTCCAGGAGGCCCCAAGAGGCCCCAAGAGTCCCCAGGAGGAGGCAGGAAGCTTAAGGAGGAGGCAGGAGGAGGGGGAGGCGCAGGAGGAGAGGGGGGGAAGATGGAGACGAGGAGGAGGAGGAGGCGGAGGAGGGAGAGGGAAAAGAGGAAGATGGAGAGGGGAGGCGGAGGAGGAGGGAGGAGGAGGAGGAGGAGGAGGAGGAGGAGGAGGAGAAGGGAGAAGGAAAGCAGCAGGAGGAGGAGGACGCAGGAGGCAGGACGAGCATGGGGAATGGGGGGAGGAGATATAACGAGGAGGAGGAAAAGGAGGAGGAGAAGGATGAGGAGGTGGTGGTGGTGGAGGAGGCAGGAGGAGGAGGAGGAGGAGGAGGAGGAGGAGGAGGAGGAGGAGGAGGAGGAGGAGGCAGGAGCAACAGGATGAGGCAGGAGTAGGTGGGAGAATGGAGGGGGCAGGAGGAGATCCCCAGGCAAGCTAAACATATTCTCATGTGGGGTCCTACCGTCGGAGTAATTCTGATGTATTGCAAATACAAAGAAAGTAGACTGCTCCGTACATCGTCGGAACATTCTACGAATTTCTCGTCGATTCGGCAAACGTATGCCAATTTTGGGGTAAATCCATTCTGTAGTCGATCCCCTACTCGGACCTTCATGCCCCCCTGGCAGAGAAGCATCGGGCTCGCTCCCTCCCCTCCCGACCCTCGACGGTGGGCCTCCGCTCGCCGCCGCCCTCCCCCATGTTCGAGTAGGAGATCGGTTGCAGAATTGCTGTGCCCATTCGCCGTTGAGAGGCGGCTTTGGGGGGATTTCCAGATTCCAGTGTGCGTTGGGCGCCCTTCCCATCTCAAGCATCGGGTGGCTTTGCCAACTCCGTCCTCTCTGGGGATAGATCAACTATGCAGTCGATCTCCTACTCGACCCTTTCCCCCTCCTCCCCCCGTCTCCCAGTGGGGCTTCACCTCGCCGTGTCGTCTCGAGCTGCTCCCGTGCACTTGTTTGCCCTCCTGCGAGGGCAAACAAACAAGTGCACGGGAGCAACCTTCTGGGATCCCCCCAATCCTTTTGAGATCCCCCCAATCCTGGTTCGGTTTGTGAGGGTCTCGGGCTCCGAAATTCTACGAAAACGCCCGGCTCTAGAAAGTTGCGACGCCAGGATCTCAGGGCAGGTCCCCCCAAACTGGCCCCCTGGTAGTTTTCGGGCCTCCCGCAGTCGTTCGGGACGATGCGAGAGCCCCCCGAACGCTCGGCGAGGCGCAACCGCTGGAAGGCACCATGGGGCCAGAAAGCCTCCGAGAACCACCGGAAACGCAAAAAAACCTGGAACCTCGAAGCTCCGTTCCCCGGCTGCCCCGCGGACCTCTGAACTCCGTGCTGATCCCCAGCTGTTCTGGCTGAAGGCGGGCAGCTCCTGCCTCAGGTGCGCGCAGCGACTGCAAAGGCCGATGGCGATCGCCGCTGATGCAACACTGCTGGGCGCGCGTCCGAGCCCCGCCGAGAGCCTGGGCGCCGGCCGGCCGGCATCGGCACCCGCGCTCCCAGGTCGGAGGGCGCCAGACACGAACCCAGACCCCCTCGAGTCATGAAAAATCCACGACGGAAGGTTTTTCACTATTTGCAGCTCCTGGGTGCCTATACCAGGCCTCGGGACCTTCAGAAAACGGCTGAGGATAAAACGACGGTCCCAGCGAAGAGGTCGAGATTTCTGGGGGTCGACGTTATGAAGAAATCATGGCGTCGGGGGTCTGGGAAGACGCTTCCATGCGTCGGTCTGGCCGGGCCGAACCTGGGGTCAGGATCGGTGGGCAGGCCTCCCTTCCCGGGCCAGGATAGCCGAGAGCCTGCGCCAGGAGGGCCTGGCCTGAGCACCGACCCCTGGGCTGAAATGTCGGACCTGGCCAAGGCCAGCGTGAGTGCACCCATTGCCGACGCCCTCCGGCAAGCCTTGGTGCCCGCGCTCCCTGCGGAGGCGGCGCGCGCGCGTGCTCGCGCGCGGGCGGCGTCGGCCGCCGCGCTGCTTGGCGCTGCTGCCGTGCTGGCCGGTGCTCGCGCGCCGCGCAGGTGCTGCCGCGGCGGCCGAGGAAGGCAGCCGCGCCCTGCGAGGGCCGTGCGCGGGCTTGAGGCTCCTTGGCCGCCCAAGCAGGGCCAGAGCGGAATGGGTCGGAGGGTCGCGCAGCATCGCCGACGCCGATGCATCGGCGATGAGGCGCGATCCAGGGCACGTCTCGATGCATCGCCGATGCGTCGGCGCTATGGCACAGTCCTCCGACACCATTTGCTGCGGCTCAGTCTGGGCGGGCTCCAGAGGCGGGCGCGACGGTCTTGCTGCCAGGGGCCGGGGTGCATGAGTGGAAGATCGAAAAGAGGACGTAGCCACAGACTTCAGCAGGTCCGCGCGGAGTTTTTGGGTCGCCGCCAGGCCCCCCATGGCGGCGCGTCTGGCGCCGCTCCATGGCGCGCTTCGCGCGGCGGCGCCTGGGGAAGGGCGGGGGGTGCAGCGCCGACCCAAGAAATCTGGGCGGACCTCCGAACGTTTGAATGTATGCTGTCTTGGTGTGTCTTCTTTAGGTGCAGGAGGAGCCAGGTTACAGGCGGGCTACGGAGTACAGCCTGCTCCTCTTCAACGATCCCCTGAATAAGCGCGAGTTTGTGGCCAGGTGCCTCATGCTCATCTGCCTGCTCGAAGAGCGTCCCGCCTATGAGACCATGATGAAGGCCCACGAAGAGTGCGTTGCTGTCGTTGGAAGCTACAACTTCGACACCGCGGAGGATTACTGCACCAGGTTGAGGGCGCAGGGAATCAGCAGCGACATCATCGCGAAGGACAAAGATTAGGCTGCCCCAGGCGCGCCAGTCGATCGAGCGGCTCTCCAGGCAACGTCCGAGGACTCCGCGTGAGCTCAAGATGCGGGTTTCCCCGCGTTCTTTGACACAGGGGGCTTTCGCGGTCGCCGATGCCGCGCGTTCGCAATGGAGGACAGGGGGGATGGGGGGGATCCGCAGAAGGAACCTGCAAGTCACCACCATGCCTGGCCATGGACATCCCGGGCCCAAAGCGTGTGCGACATACCAGGGCCCCGGGGCCCATGATGGTCCTGGCCAAGCATGGTGGCGCGTGCAAGTGCTTTCTTCGTCGCCGGAGACCAACACATCCGACGGGCCCGCGTGTCCCGCAAGTCTGACCCCCTCCCCACGGGCAGCGTCTCGCCTCAGATCCCTGTTTGATCATGCCCCAGAGCACAGACAGGGCCCCCTGGAGGCCGAAATGGAGGAAAAAGCCGGGAGTCTTGAGACGGGGGTCAATGCAAACGGGGGTCAGCCAGAATGCCAGATTTTGCAGGATCCTGCAGAGCCAGTGGTGCATTGACACGGGCTAGCGCAGGATCGCGCAGGATCCTGCAGGATCTTGAAAGATTATGCAAAGCCCGACTGACCAGGGTTTGCACTGACCCGGGTCAGTATATTTCCGGAGATGTCGCTGGGATTGAGAGAGCCGGTCCGCCCGTAGCCACAGGAAGAGGAGGAGTGAAGCCGTTAGGTCCCTAATTATTCTTGCCCGTAGTAGGGTGCGCCTACGCACCTCTCCTGCCGCGCACGAGTTCCCTTCCGCGCGTCTCCATCGGCGTCGCGGCGGGAGCCCTCTGCGGGCCCGGCCTCAAGCTGGCCTCAAGCTGGCCCAGTTGACGGGCGCGTCCAATTCATGTTTTTTAGTTCGGTTTCAATTTAGCTCGGTTAATTTACAAGTAGCGGGGTGGCGCAGGCAGTCGGCATGACGCTCTCCTGCCTCCCCTCTGCTCCTGGCCCCTGCGCGCGCGTGCTGGCAGGACGGAGGGCCTGACGATGGCTGTTCGTGCTCGGGCCCGTTGGCCAGGCGGCGAGGACGCCGAGAGCTTACAGGGCGAGCCTGCAAAACAAGAGCAATCAACAGACCAGTGTGTCATGCGTGAGGTCGTCAAAGGATGTTGTGTGCGGCCTAGCCTGATCGCGGCTGCCCATTACCATGGTGCGCCCGTGCTCCGCCATTTCTCAATCCCCTTGCTGATTCCTCCGGACCACGATGTGTCATCGTTGGCACTTGCCTACGTGCTCGCGGGTGCCGAGAAGGTGGTGGGCCATTGTCGTGCTCCTGAGCTGTCGCGTGAACTTCGCTTCTAGAGGAAACAGTGCTAGCGCAGATGCAAGGTTAACAGAACGGAGCCTGCAGCGCCATCTCTGGGACCCTTGGTCTGACTGGGCTCGGATCTGGGCGATCTTGTGCAGCCTTGGGCCGGGGCCGTCTGAAGCTCTGTGGAGGCCTGGTCTGGCCGCAACAGCAGTTAAGCGAGCAATAGTGGACAATTGATGTTTTAACACATCCTAGGGCTGGGATTGGTCCCCCCAGGGCTGAAGATGAGGGACGACGGAGGTGAGAGGAGCCAAGAGTGCGGATGGAGAACGGACGAAACAATGGGATGAGGGAGGTGGACGGTTGAGGAGGTAGCATGCGAAGGATGGCGGAAGTTGGATGAGGAGGAGGAGAGTGGAGGGAGGTGGATTGAGGGAGTTGGAAGGTGGAGCTTCAGTGGGGAAGAAGCAGTCGCTGGTCAGGCGGAGGAGGAACACTAAGCGGAACACGTGCCCACCAAATTTTCACCGCCGACGTTCGAAACGATTAGATGGCAGTCATCATGGTTTGTTGAGCCCCTTTCGTACGCTGTCGGAGCATCATTTGGAACTCCAGGGAGCACCTGGGCGGCTTCTGGGGGCTTCCTGGGCGCTTCTCAGGGGTCACGTATTGGGACATCTTGGGGGATGTCCTGGGCCATCTTGGGCCACCTTGGGGCTATCTTGGGTCATCGTGGGAACGTTTCCATACCATCTTTGGGCCTGCGACGCATTGATCATCGTTCTTGGGCTGGTCCTGGAGCTCCTGGGGGGTGCCCTTGGGGGTCTTCGAAACCCTCTTGGAACGCGTTCGGCATTGGGTAGCCACATTGAAGCCTCAGGAGCACATGGGAAACGCCAAGGGCACATTGGGGCCTCCGAAAAGCCTCAGGTCTTTGGATGACTTTTGGCATCCTGGGGGTTTGGAAGACTCCTGGCCAATTTGGGGTGGTCGTGGGGTTATCTTTGGAATCCTGAGGGCCGGGATCAGGAAGAAAAGTGTCTCTGGTCTGATTGTGTCGGCAAGTTGCTTCCAGGGACCCCTGGGGGCTGTCCCGCGCGCGCGAACTAGAATCTCTTGTACGATGTTCAGAGTATCATTCTGAACCTCGTACCGCAGATTCTAGCACGCCCGTTCGGCTAGCGAATTGCCAACATCTCCACAAGCACAAGCAGCGACCAGTGGATTGCAGCCTCCTTCCTCGCCTCACCTTACCTCTCTCCTGCCATGTTCCTTCCTCGCCTCCCGCCTCTCCCGGCCCTCCTGTCACCCCTGCTCGCGTAGATCGTTACGAACTCGCGTTCATTAACTGAATGTGCTGGTTCACCGTTTGCTCGAGTGCAGATTGCGCAGCCCGTTGCTGATCATCAAGTCCCCACTCTATTGAATATCACTGTTGGAGTGAGTCGCCCCTCCTTCTCCTCCTTCTCCTCTTCGGCCGTGTCATGCCCAGGACGAGATGCTTGCCGCCATCGCCTCAGAGAAGGCCGCCGCTGTGCACCCGTTCTTTGCCGCTGCGGGGTCTGAGGGGGTGCTGGGAGGGGCTATGAACGCGAAAGGGCGCTGTCACGCTCGTGTGTGAACTCGTCATTATGTTTGTCTCTTCGTGACTTGCCAGCCAGCCAGACTACTTGAGCACAGCTGACCATCATATCGCCTTTAACTTGCACTCATGAAGTATAGGAGCATGCAGTGGAACAGTCAGGGGAGGAAAGCGTCAAACCGAAGCTCGGGTTCAGATTGGGCAGACCCATGAGTCAACCATGGTGCCATGGTGGCCGTCACGGATCGTTCGATCTGGGAGCGCCTCTTCAAGACTTCTTGGTGACATTTTGGGGCGTTGTTGGTGGAATTCGGAATGCCGTTGGGTCTCTCTTGGGGCCAACTTGGCGGGCATCTATCAAAAGAGGCTGGATAGCGTTGGTTTTCTTGTGGGCAGAGTGCATGTGCATTGCAGATTTGTGTGTTCAGGCCGTGCTGTGTAGTTTTCACGTGATCAGGGCGAACCGTGATACATGCGCGCAGCGCCATATGGATCGATCACCCAAGGCTTGCTACGGCCACCACGCGCTCGCAGGCTCGCCACTCCTGATATGGCCGTGCGGCGTAGATTGTCCAGGATGGTGTTCGTGGCCTCTGCATGATCTGTGGAGACAACCACCCATAAATTTGAGCCCGCATGCGCTTCTGTTTCGGCAGAGCCCGCGACCGAAGCAGAACGCGCCCAGGAGAACCTGAAGAACAACGGCACGCCCATGAGGTTCGTGGTGGAGCGCGCGGGCCCCAAGCCCGCGGGCCAGACTTCGGCGAACGGCGCCAAGGCCACCGTTCCGTAGCACGGCAGGGCGCGGCAGAGACGGGGGGAGGGGGCTCTCGCCGTCGCCCTCGCCGTCGCTGCGTGTACGGTGAGGGCGCTGGGGGGGCACGGGGGGGGGGGAGGGGGGGCGGCGTGAATCGCGAACGGGGGTCGGCTACGCGTCAGAGTGAACCTTCGCCGGAGTGACCTTTGTGGTGCGCGGCCCGGGCCATTCCTGCGTGCATGATAGGCGGGGGAGCCGTGCGGGCGAGGAGGGAAGGGCCTGCAGGGGAGATGCGCAGGCGGAGAGGGTGACGGCGGGGCGGGGGGGCGCTCCTCCGCCTCCTCCTCCTCCCGCACCAGGCACGATGCAGGCTTTGGCGGTTGTGGCGGTTCTCCAAGGAAGGTCCTCGAGGATCTCTGACAAAGGATTCCTTCAAATGGATTCCTTACTACGGGCACATTGTTAACGACCCCCCAGTAAGGAAACCAAGCTCCCTTTTCCTGACAAAGGATCCATCGTGCAACATTCCTTATTGAGGACCTCTTTGGTACGGTTCCTGCATACGGGTTTACGACCAAGGGCTCCTCAGCAAGGATTTCCCAATAAGGAAACCTTGCTACGGAGTGGATCCAGAGATTTGCACCCCCCACACCTTCAGCGCTTTTAGCCCCCACCCACCGCGCGCGCGCTTCCGTCGCTATTTAACTCGCGAGGCAAACCGCTCTTCGCCAGAGGAGTGTAGCAAAACATACTGCAAAACCGCTGTCCTCCCACAACATCTTATTTTCTTCCCACTATTGTTATTCATCCCTTTTTTCCTGAAGATCCTCCAGGAGCTCTTCACCAAAAGCGCCAGCTGGCGCTGCCACTCTGGTAGCGGAGCGTCTCGCCGCTCTGCGGCCAGGCAGGGCGAGCATTGACCAGTTCCCTCAGCACAGGTACTACAGTTACCACTCCGCCAAATACGACTACCCCTTGCAGGCTGGCGAGAGCAAGCAGGAAGCGCCGGACGCACACGCACTCGCTGGAAAGCGGGACGCGTCGAGCGGCCCGCGGGAGCCTCACAGGGAGGCATGCCGCCGGTCAGTGCGACTTCGCGGCGACTCTCCCGAGGTCTTCAAGACCGACAAGGATGATGATGATGATGATGATGATGATGATGATGATGATGATGATGATGATGATGATGATGATGATGATGATGATGATGATGATGGTGGTGATGGTGATGATGATGATGATGATGATGGTGATGATGATGATGATGAATTGAATGATGATGATGATTGATGATGATGATGATGACGATGATGATGATGATGATGATGATGATGATGATGATGAGATGATGATGATGATGATGATGATGATGATGATGATGGATGATGAGGAGGAGGAGGAGGAGGAGGGAGGAGGAGGAGGAGGAGGAAGAAGAGGGGGAGAGGGGGGGGAGGGGGAGGAGGGAGGAGGAGGAGGAGGAGGAGGAGGGAGGAGGAGGAGGAGGGAGGAGGAGGAGGAGGAGGGAGGGGAGGAGGACGAGGAGGAGAAGGGAGGAGGAGGGAGGAGGAGGAGGAGGAGGAAGAGGAGGAGGGAGGAGGAGGAGGGAGGAGGGAGGAGGAGGAGGAGGAGGAGGAGGAGGAGGAGGAGGAGGAGGAGGAGGAGGAGGAGGAGGAGGGGCCGGCCGAACAGGACCCGCGCTGGTCACCGGACGAGAAGCCGGACGACGAGACAGAGGCGGAGCTGGAACCCCCGCCGAGGCGCACGCTGACGCCCCCGCGCAGGCGCCGGCCGACGACTTGCAGCTCCGGCCATGGCGGCTGGAAGTGGCGGCGGCAGCAGCGCGCTTGCGCGGCGCCAGCCGCGCATTTTCGGCGCAGACCCCCCCCCCGCTACAAACAGGGCGCCGCCGCGGCGTCTGTCGAGACGCCGCCGTGGTGGAGCCCAGAACTAGAGCACGACGCGGCGTACCCTTACACCATCACGGAATGGGCGCGGGGCGTCCGGAGGTGGGCGGCCGCCGCCAAGCCGAGCGTTGAGCGCCAGGGGCTGATGCTCAGCTTCGCCCTCGGCGCGACTGCGCGGACCATCGCCGACGAGGTCGCGGTGGAGATCCTGCAGCACGGCGCCGCGGTGGACTTCGGAGACGGCTGGGGCGCTGCGGCGAGGTCGGGCGTCGACGCCCTCTTGGCAGCGCTGCGGGCCAAGTTCTCTCCCGACCCAGAGGCGCAGATGCTCCGTGCAGGGCTGGGTTTCTTTAAGTTAGCGCCCGGCCGCGACGAGGACGCGCGGGGCATGTTCTCGCGGTTCGACCTCCTGCTCGACAGGGCAAACCAGCGCACGGAGGTGGGGATTTCCGTCCCCTGTCGGACTTGGATGCCCCTCTCGCTCTTGCGCCTGCCAGCGCGCAAGTGGGCAGAGATGCTGCGCGAGCGCGACAGACGCCTCCCCGGGACAGAGCAGGACTGCCAGCTGGTGAAGGCGAGGCAGCTTCGAGACCGATCGAGGACAACGTCTCGTCCCTGCGGCCACGCAGCGCTTGGGCGCCAGGCGCGCGCTTTGCGGGCGCCGACGAGGACCTGCTGCCGTTGTGCCTGGCCACGGCGGCCGGCAGCGCCGACGGTTCAGCGCCTCGCCGCGCCCGGCACGCTGCGATCGGAAACGGTCACGGCAGCGCGGCCGCCAGGGGCGTGTTCTTCGACTTCTGGCAAGCGGCCGACGGCGAGGCCGATTGCGACGCGCGCTGGTCCACCGACGCAGAGTGGCGGGAGCGCGAGGCCGCCGAGGGCCCCTGGCCGGCCGACCGCCCGGAGGCTGAGCAGCGCGCTTCCGCGGAGGACCCCCTCTACTTCACGCAGGCGCGGTTGGCGGCGCGCGCGGCCGAACGACGGCGCCTCGCGGCAGATTGCCGTTTTGCTCAGAGGCGCGCGAGCCGACGGCGCCACCTGGGCGCCGCGCGCTACGCCAAGCGCGGCCCTCCCCGCACCTCCGGCCGAGCTCCGAGGCGGGTTTTTTCGCGGGCCAGACGTTCGTCAGCATGGAACGCGCGCCTGACACGGACGTCAAGGCGTTCTTCAGGGGCCGCCCCACGGCTCTCGGGATCGGATTAAGCGGGGCGCCCCGAAGTTCGCGGCGCGCTACAAGCGTGGCAAGCCAGGCCGCATGGCTGCCGAGTGCAAAAGCCCGCGCAACCTCTGCTACAACTGCGGCCAGCCCGGCCACGAAGCTAAGGGCTGCAGGCAGCCGCGGAAGGTGTTCTTTACCAAAACGGCAGAGGAGGGTTAACTGGACGGCTACGAGGAGAAGCAGGAGAACGAGGGGGGGGGCCTTTCACCCTGGGCGCGGAGGAGCACTCCATGATCAGGGAGGAGCAGGGCGTTGGAGGAGGAGGCGGAGGAGGGGCGTCAGGGGCGGGGAAAGAGACGGCGACGGACGACGAGCCGCAGTGGGGATGCCCGCGTGCGTCCGCCACACCCAGTTCGCCTCTCACACGCTTCGTGGCCGTGAAGCCCTCCGATATGTCCAGTATTCACAGTCAAATACATATACAGTACGCGTACCCATGCGCGCTTTCATGCGCATAGATTTATTCGCACGCAGACTCAATCACAATCAGACGCGCTCGCGCTCAGTCTCACCCGCGCTCAATTCCCCGTGCTCAGGCCTATCGTTTCCGTTCGTGTTGTGTACCCCTCCACGCATGTCGGCACACCCCTCGCATGGTTCGTGGCCCCATAGCGATCGCCACCGAAATAGATATTCACAATTGCGGTAGTCACACTTGCATATGGTCGGGTCCTTCGCCAAGATATTTTTCAAGACCATTATGTGGTGTTGGGTCCTCGTTTTGAAGAGACGGTCCCTGCGTTCACTCCTCCTCCTCCTAATTCCGCTGCCCCCTCCCTCCTCCTCCTCCTCCTCCTCCTCCTCCTCTCATCAGCATCATCATCACCATCAGCATCAGCATCATCATCATCATCATCATCATCATCATCACCATCACCATCATCATCATCATCAACATCATCATCATCCATCCATCATCATCGTCATCAGCAGCATCATCATCATATTCATCATCATTATCATCATCATCATCATCATCATCATCATCATCTTCATCACCCGTTTCAGCACACCCCTCACAAGTTTCGCGGCCCCACAAGGAGCTCCCCCAGAAGCCCCAGAAGGGGGTTCCCGCATGCGTCCGCCACACCCACCACAACGTTTCGTGGCCCCATAGGGTGCTCCACAGAAGGCCCCAGTGGTGCAGCCCGCATGCGTCCGCCACACCCAGTACAGCGCTTCGTGGCCCCATAGGAAGCTCCACCGAAGGCCCCAGTGGGGGTGCCCGCATGTGTCCGCCACACCCAGTACAGCGCTTCGTGGCCCCATAGGGAGCTCCACCCAAGACCCCAGTGGGGGTGGCCACATGCGCCCGCCACACCCAGTACAGCGCTTCGTGGCCCCATTGGGAGCTCTACCAGAGGCCCCAGCGGAGGTGGCCACATGCGTCCGCCACACCCACTACAGCGCTTCGTGGCCCCATAGGCAGCTCCACCGAAGGTCCCAGCGGCGCAGCCCGCATGCGTCCGCCACACCCACTACAGCGTTTCGTGGCCCCATAGGGAGTTCCACCAAAGGCCCCAGTGGGGGTGCCCGCATGCGTCCGCCACACAGTGCAGCGATTCCTGGCCCCATATGGCGGTCCACCGAAGGCCCCAGTGGGGGTGGCCCGCATGCGTCCGCCACACCCAGTACAGCGCTTCGTGACCCAATAGGGAGCTCCACCTAAGGCCTCAGGGGGGGTGGCCACATGCGTCCGCCACACCCAGTACAGCGCTTCGTGGCCTCATAGGCAGCTCCGCCGAAGGCACCGGTAGAGGTACCCGCATGTTCCACCACACTCAGTACAGCGCTCCGTGGCCACATAGGGAACTCCGCCGAAGGCCACAATGGGTGTGCCCGAGCGCCCGCCACACCCAGCACAGATTTTTGCAACCCCACACGGACTTTCACCGAAGGCCCAGTGGGGGTGCTCGCATGCGTGTCCGCCACTCCACCTAAGGTCCTAGTGGCGCAGCCCGCATGCGTGTCCCCCACAGCGCTTCGTGGCGCTCCACCGAAGGTCTCAATTGCGCAGCCCGCGTGTGTCTTTCCCACCGAGTACAGCACTTCTTGACCCATAGGGAGCTCCACCGAAGGTCCCAGTGGCGCAGCCCGCATGCATCTCCCCCACCCACTACAGCGCATCGTGGCCCCATAGAGAGCTCCACCGAAGGTTCCAGTGGCGCAGTCCGAATGCGTCTCCCCTACCCAGTACAGCGCTTCGTGGCCATACAAGAGGGTTCCACCGACGACGAGATTTACAACTGCGGTGTTCACAACTGCATATGGTTGGACCGTTCGCCAGGCCAATCTATTCCCAGCAACCTTGTAGTGTGGGGTCATCGTTTTGAAGAGACGGTCCCCGTGTTCACTCCTCCTCCTCTTCCTCCTCCTCCGCCTCCTCCTCCTCCCGCTGCCCCCTCCTCCCCTCTCTCCCCCCGTAGCCATTTTGGCTCAAGATGTGCGGTTCCCGCGGGGGCCAAACGGATGTTGCTAGTCCGCGGCAGCTTTCGTTCCGCGCGGCCTGTCCGCCCAGGCTAGGACCATCGCCCGTGCCAGCGCGCGGGCTGCTCCTGGCGTCGGCGGACTCTGGAGGCGCGGCGGCGAGGGCGACTTCGAGTGCAAGATGGCTGGCGGCGTGCCGCGGGCCAAGGGCGCTGGCGCCGCCATGTGGACCCTGCCACTGGGGCCTTCGGTGGAGCTTCCTATGGGGCCACGAACCGTGCGAGGGGTGCGCCAAGATTGGGCGGCGCCGCCATGAGGACCCTGCCACTGGTGCCTTTGGCGCCTTCGGTGGAGCTTCCTATGGGGCCACGAAGCATGTGAGCGGTGCGCCAAAATAGGGCGGCGCCGCCATGTGGACCCTGCTACTGGGGCCTTCGGTGGAGCTCCTTGTGGGGCCGCGAACTGTGTGAGGGGTGCGCTAAAATGGGGCGGCGCCGCCATGTGGACCTTGCCACTGGTGTTTTCGGTGGAGCTCACCATGGGGCCACAATCCTCGTGAAGGGTGTGCCGAATTGGCCCGAATCCGCCATGCGGACCTTGCCACTGGGACCTTTGGTGGAGCTCTCTATGGGGCCGCGAAGTGTGTGAGGGGCGGACTGCAGATGATGATGCTCATGATGATGAGATGAGGGGGGAGGGGGCACCGGGAGGAGGAGGAATGAACGCGGGGACCGTCTCTTCAAAACGAGGATCCAACCCCACAGGATGGTTGGGAATTTGGAAAACATTAAGAACATATGTTTCCACAGAGAGTATTCCGAAAAAGCCACGAACCCTGTGACCGTCGCTCTTTAGTTTGGTCTTCGTATTTTGAGATGTGGAAGCGCATGCTTTTCCTGTTTGTCATGTTTTCCTGATGCGCTTCCGCTGCCCTCCTCCTCGTCCTCCTCCGCCATCCCTCTTCTTTCCTTCGTCCTCCCCCAATGCAAGTACAATAGGATTGCAATAAGAAACCAGATGACCACCCCACTCCATCTCCGTCCTCTTCCAATAGAAAGACGGTAGGAATGCAACTGGGATTCCTCCGCCCCTCCCGTCTTCCTTCTCACACGGGAATGTAATAGGAATACAATCGAATGCTACAGGGATGCCTCCCGCTCCCTTCCTCTTCCACCACTGGCAATAGAGTCGGAAAGCAATGCGAAAACAATGATGATACATTCAGGGTTTCTCCATATCTTTCCTCCCCCTCCTGCAGTAAGCATATACTCGACGTGGCAACCGATGACGGAGATGCATAAGATATCATCCGGAGATCCAGCAAACAAAACCTTGTTGTAGTCATATAAGCTAAGGGTCGCACCCCCCCCCTCCCTCCCGCGCGCGGAGGTCGGGAGCGTCGTGCGGGTCCACGGGAGGGCGGCACATGTGGTGCAGGCCTCCTCCGCCCCGACACCGCGCCGGCTCCTGGCCCCTCGGAGGCGCGGAGGGGGGGAGGCCAGCGGTCTTGGCATCTCCCCCTCCTGGGGGAACCAAAGAGCTACTGACACTGCTGCTCCGTGGACCTCTCCTGGGTTGCGTTCTGACCAGAGTTTCGAGGAGGTTCCAGCCGTGGCGACGGGGGCTCTCCAGAACGAGCAGCGGTATGCAGGGCGGGAGGGGGCACGCCCCGTGGCATTAGGTGCAACGGTGATTTTGGCGAGTTTGGGGAGGAACCTGGCGCGCAGTGATTAATTATACCTCTGATGTTGGTAGCTGGTCGCTGGCAGGGCGGGGAGTGAGGGGAGGGAGAGTGTGGCAGGTTCGCGCCGTGTCGACGCTGCGGCGGTCCTGAGTCGGCCGATATCGAACGAACTGCGCTATCGCACAGCCGCGATCGTTCAAGCTTGAGCGAACTGCGCGGTGTCAGAAGTCAACGCGCAAGTCGCCATGACACGAACCTGTCGCGTCGGGGTGGGATCGTTTTCCCTGCGCCCTGCTGCTCTCCGTGCTTCTCGGCCTGCGTGGCCCTCGGCACGTGCGAGCCAGCAGGCCTGCGGGGCCTGCTGTCTGACGCTTCGAGCCCTCGCTCCCGCGGCTGGGAAGAGGACGAGAAGGCCATAGAGGACTCCTCCTCAGCCGCATCCTCCCCATCTCCGCTTTCTAATTCAGAGCCTCGCTGTTGCTTTCGTGCCCCCTGTGGGGCGCGAGGGGGAGGTGGGAGGAGCAGGAGGAGGAGGAGGAGGAGGAGGAGGAGGAGGAGAAGGAGGAGGAGGAGGAAGATGAGAGGAGGAGGAGCAGTGAGCGTGGGTGAAGAGGGGGCCAGTCGAGGAACAACACACAGCACGCGCGCAAGCGTAAATTCTCCTTGCGTCTGGGTTTTTTTCGTGGGTCGGCGCTGGACCCCTGCTCTGGAGGCGCCTCCAGCGCCGCCCTTGAAGCGCCTCGCGCGGACTTCGAAGAGTTCGTCATTAGTTCAGCGTCGTCGTCTTTCTGCAGTAGGGATTGGAAGGGGGAGGAGAGAGTCTGGGGACGAGGAGCTCGTGGAATCCGCATGGATTCAAGGCGGTGGATCTTGAGTAGGAGGAGGATCAGAGTCAGGAGCAGGAGCAGCAGCTGGAGGAGCGGGAGGAGGAGAATGGTGACCATGAGGAGGACCCCGAGGAGCTTGACCCATTTTGCCGGCTCATCCGTGCAGCGATGTAGCAGAGAGCGATGATTCGAGTGAGAAAGGATGCCGGTGATGAGGCGGTTGGCTTCCGTTCGAGGCTCGATGGCATATGAGTTTATAGATTGCCGAGTTCGTCAATATGAGATTTTGTTGGATGCATTACATGCGGATCTTGTTTGATATGCAGCTCTTCTTTTCTCGCGGCCATCTCTCCCCCCTTCCTATAGCTTGGGCAAGCCAATCGGTAATACGCCCTGCCCGTAACCGAGCCACAGTTTGGTACAGAAATTGATTGTGCATTGTTCATTGCCCCTTTCCAATCCACACCTCTGTGGACATTTCTGTGTGACGTGCCACGACGTGAAATAGTTGATTTCGCGACTCAGACATCGCGATAAGAGCATTTGGAATTGCACATCGACGGGTCCATTTCCAGCTCCCTGCCTCTTGCTTCACTGGTGCAAAGTATCTCACTGCTCCGCCGTGTTGTGCTCAGGTGGACGCTGGAACGGGCGATCTGATCTGTCAGTTCCAGGACGACAAATCGTTCGTCCGCGTGAGAGCTTAGGAACGCTGAGTCTCCACTCCATATGTGTCGTAGCTTTCTCGCGCTCTCGGGAGCCGAAGCGCTTCCAGTTTTGTTAGCACATGCATCTGCGCCCTCACACACGCCTTCCCCATTCCTTACATATATATATATATATATATATATATATATATAGGAACGCCGTGCTGTAATTACCTCGGTTATAGGGGCACCGTGCTGCAATCGCCTATGATCTGTGATCATACGCTGGACGTGTCTTTCCCATGTGGGCGGTGGCAGTGGGCGGCAGGCGCCACATCGTGTTGTTGAGCGCGTCCAACTGGGCCCCGACTAGAGGAATCGGTGAGTGGTCAGGCGAGGGGAGCATTGACATATGCAGAGTTGCCTGGAAGACATACGTGTAACGTGTAACAGCCGCCTGCTCATGCAGCTTGTGCTGCACGGCGACGGAGAGGGAAAGAGAAGTCGCAAGCACACGACGGCGCACGCGTTGGCGAGAGGCCAGGGCCAGCGGGACACAGCAGGAGGGCGGGCAGGCAGGAAGGGACAGGGAGAAGGCAGCAAGCATGGAGCAGGGCAGGAGAGGGCACGGGGGAAGGAGAAGGAGAGATAAAGAGAGAGAGAGAGAAGGAGGAGAGGAGAAGCAGCCAGCCGCAAGTAGACAGACCTGGCCAGGGGCGGGAGAGAAGGGCAGCCTGGAAGACAAATGATACGCATCCGAGTGTGTGAGCGTGCGTTTCCATCCACGTAGCCCTTTGGCCAGCAGGGCCACATCCAGACATACGAAAGGCAGGGATGGGAAGGTCTAGGCACGCCGACTATTGGCGGTGAGTTTGTCTGTGTCGGCGTGGGTCAATTACCCATGCCAATCAACCTCAGTTTGCAGTTTCAGCGACCTTGAACCATCCAATCACAGGTCCAAATAATGAAAACAGTCAGGCCGCGTTGGTTCAATCACTTGTCTGGGCCTGGGGAGCTAACAGACAGTGTCGAGTCTCCAAACCTATCGAGTCCAGCAGTTCCAGGGTAGCCACGGTTGTACACCGCGGTTGGCCAGTTGGAGGGGGGGTGCAGGAATGGAATGCGTGGAGCGTAGGCAGGTATGTGTGTGCTGGTCGAGCGCGAAAGGTCCTTGATTGGTCCCCTCCGGCTCTCGCTGACGGCAAGCATCCGTACCCACGGCCTCGCGGGCCGGGCCCCTGGGCAGCCACCCCGTGAAGGCTATTTTTTCTTCGGTGGATGCCTCGCGCGGAACGTATCCATGCGACTGCGCATCCACGGGACTGCGCCCCGGACTCCAGACCGCGTGGTCGTGGATATGGGTTACGTCCGCCGCTTGTGAGGCTCCCGTCTCGTCCAGTGCACCCTCCGTTTCCGCCTCCGCTCTGAGTTCCCCCCGGGCCGCGCGTGTCCGCAGGCCGCAGGCTCCGTCGCATTGCGCCCCGCTGCCCGCCAGAACGGCGGGTGCGAGCCTGTGGTGCTGTCTCGGGCGCTGCCTCGTGGCCGCCCGGGGGCATTCCTCGGCAGTTTTTCTCGCTCGGGATGCCAATCTCGCCATGAGGGAAGCAGGTCCGAAGAGCAACTCAGAAGAGGGTGGGCTGAGACAACAGCAGTTGGCCTTCGGGGGCTCCATCGTCACCACGGCTGGGCGCAGTTTGGACATTTGGCGCGTTTGGGTCCATGGGGGGAGTCCAGGGACAGGTGTTGAGCTGGCGTTGTCTCCACTCGCCCTGCCTCGAGGAAAGGATCCAGGGGCCCTAATATAGGGCCATCAGACAACGGCTCAGGACGAGGAGCTGTTCCTCGGGGGAGGGCCCGTTGCCCTCCCGACCCGTGTTTCCAGCAGTGGCAGTTGTCGGCAGGCGGGGTGGGACCTTTCCCACCCCTTCGCCAGGCATCGGACAAAACGGACGGCATGCGCATGAGTTCTCTGAGGCCCGCGCGGATCTTTTGGGCCAGAGGGGTGGGTGGTCCAGCTCCGACCCAAGAAACACGCGCGGACTTCCGAGCGCTTTTGCCATGCAGTTTGGTGTTTTGTTCCTCGGGGGCAGTAGCATTCTGTAGGGCTCTGAGCTGTGCCTGGGCGAGCTCCCGTTTTTGAACTGACTCGAGAGGTTTGCAAGTCCCTTGTTGGGTCAGCGGTCGTAGGCTTCGGCCTGCGGCAGCTGCGCACGGGCGGGTTGTCAGATTTTTGAAGGAGCAGCCGCCTGGTCGTGGAGCCACCGTTTCTTTTGGCCCCACTACCGCATCCCGCTTGCCGCGGAGGCCAAAATGAAGTTCCGAATGTCCGTGCGAGTCGATGTGGTGCGTTGCAGAAACGGCTTGGCCCTCGAGGGGTCGAGAAGTGGGCATCCCTTCCCCGGCAGAGGCCTGGCGGAAGGGTGGCGAAGGCCGGCGGATGGTATCAGGTTGGAACATATTGATCTCAAGCAGTGGCGAGGCGTCCAAGCTTGCTTATAGGCACACGTAAGAATGTTATAATAATTTTGTGTGGCTTGCACGCAATGTTCTTAACCATTTCTGGCTGAACCCGTCTTGTTTCAACACATCGTTTTTTTTTATGTTTTGAGGATTGTGTTCTTGCTCATGGAACATGCTTTAGTTCTAAAAGCATGTAGTGTTAGTCCTATAGGTATGCCAGGCTGGTCGGTCCCTGCTCAAGCATCTGCTTTCCCTGATATTTTTTTCTGTGGGGGTCAGGGTTTCCGGAACCCGCTATGTAGTTACAACCGCCCGTGTTTAGGTTGCATTGTCGTGCATATTTCGATGCATGACTCTCATGATGCAGTCGTGGTTGTGGCAGATGTCCTGATCTTCCCTGTCGTTAGATTCCACTTGGATTTGCTCAACGCGGCGGAGCAACTGCTCGGCCAGATCTGGACGTGCGTCGAGACAGTTGCATTGCCAGCGTTATGCCATCGACTGACGGGGATTCGGGATGGAAGGGGCATGAGGTAAGATCAAGTGTATAACCAAACAGACAAGTCGTCCCACAGGGCGGACAGGAGAGGGAGAGGGAATACCCAGACATCCGATTGATTTGTTGAATCGCTTCGCTCACTCCGCCTGCCCGTATTGTGCCATCGCAGGCGTTTGCCTGCGCGTTCGTGGCCTCTTGGAGGCCGTTTGCAGGCCTCTTGGAGCCTCTTTTTGGGCCTCTTGGCGGTATTTCTGGGACCTCCTGGGGCGTCACGGGGGCCTCTTAGGGGGCCTCTTGGGGGTCTCTTGTGGCCTCTCGGGGGCCTCTTGGGGGCCTCTTGGGGCCTCCAGGGGACCTCTCTGCGGCTAGAGCTCGAATTGTCCGTTCGGGTCCTTCTGGGCCCGCTCTCGGAGCCGTCTAGGGATCCTCTTCGGCCATCTTGGAGGCCTCTGGGGCTATATTGGGGCCCTCTTGGGCCGTTTGGGGCGCTCTTGGAGGCCTCTTAGGCCGCGTTGGATTGATTTTTTGTTTGCAATCAGCGGGCTCCAAGAGGTATCGACTCGACCCTTCCCTCGGGGCAGGATTTCCGCTTACGTAAACTCGTGATTGATGGTCCTGGTGCCCCGAGGCCAGCATGGAGGAGAAAGGCCAGGATTGAAACGAGTCAATCCGCCCGCCGTCTTCCAGGGCGAGCAGGAGAGGGAGAAGGAAGGAGTGCGAGGAAGCACGCGGGCACGCAGCGCAGTCTTGCGCCGCCCAGGGTGAGCGCACACCGGCCAGGCCAGTCTTCGGCGGCCAGGGGGCCATTCGCCCCCTTGCGTTGCGGCCCGCTCCTGGGCACTGCACTTTCTCCAATCAGCTCCGGAGCGCCACAAGCACGGCAGAATTATCACAGGCATGGCCCCGCGCTCAAGATTGGGTGTGTACGTCTTCCTGCCGAGGCCAGGAGGGCGCGCGTTTCTTCCGAGGATCGGTGTGCGCAGTCATGTGGACTTGTGCTGTAACCTGTGCTGTTCGAACTGGCCGCGGTCTGTGGCCTGTGATGCTCGCTCTGCTCGCGGCGCCCAGGGCTGACGCACCTGGCTCCCAAAAGGGGCCAGGCAAGGGGGGTGCCCTCCAAGAGTGGAAGGGCAAGAGCTACCATCAGCAATAGAGTGCAGAGGTCCGTGCAGATTTCTCGGGTCGGTGCTGGACCCTCCTTTGTCGGTGCTTCCCAGGCCGACCCAAGAAGTTTGCGCGGAGCCCCCAAAGTGCATGGTCTTTTGTATCTCGTGAGATATCCTGAGGAGAAGGCACCAGCTGCATGTAGACTGAGCTATTCCCTCGCAAGCCAGGCCGAATTGCACCCTCTGCGGGGCGGGGCGCCCTCTCTGACCAGAAGGCCGCCGCACCCCTCCCCTCTGCCCTGCCGCCAGCTCTCAGCGCGCCGCCATGTGGCGGACCAGGCCCTCGGACTGCCCCCCCCCCGCTCCTCCTTGTTCGTCTGGAACATGGAACGGCAAGGCAGTGCCCAGGAGGTCACCGACCCCCCCCCCCCACGAAGAGGAGGGGTCCTCGGGACCCCCCCCCCCCACACACACACAACACCACAACACGATCTGCCAAGAGCTTGCGCGATTATCGCGGATCTTTGGTGGCTCAAATGGGGACGTGAGCACTGGCGACGATGCCCAGCAGCGAACGCTTTCCCAAACCGACCGCTGCCGCTGCTGGGCGGGCAACAACCTTCGTCACCCGCGCACAGCGTCCGCGGCGGTAGCGACAGCCAGTCTGGTCCAGAATGGACAGGAACAGTTGCTGGTTTTCGTCCCCGCTGCTTGCGTCCCCGCTGCGCCCCCCCCCGTCTCCCGTCATCGTAAGCAAGAGGGAGGATCTTCGCGAGCTGTTGGGCAGCGCTGCGCTGCCCCCACGCCTCCACGCGCCGGCGTGGCACTGTTGGGGCCACACCCGTAGAAATGCAGAACGACATCCGAGGAGCAACGAAAGCCATAAACGACAACTTTCGGAGGTCCACGCGGACGCCTCTGGTTTGGTCGGTGCTGGACCCCCTTCCCCACACCCCTCAGGCCTATGTCGATCCCATCGATCCGCTTCCATGTCGATGTCGGCCAGCCTGGTCCGATTTGGTTTCGGTATTCCGACGATTTGGGGTGGGCCGATGCTTGCATGGCGCTGGCGCAGGTGCCAGGGCGGCCTGATCCGACGCACTCCAACATTAGTTTAAGGGTCCGGCGATCACCGGGGTTATCGCCCCCCCCTGAGATAGTCTGACTTTGTCGGCTGCGCAGATCTGAAGGGGGTACGCAGTATTGGTGCGCGCGGGCATACGTAGAGCTGCCCAAAGCTAACATGTTCAGAACCTCCCCCGCCAACGGATAACCCGAGTTATCGCGGAAAAAAGCGATCTCTATTGCGAAAGCTTTATGGCCGCTGCCGCCGACCCTGAAGGGGACGACGACGAAGACAGCGACGATGAAACTATTCAAAAGGTAAGGAATGGGAGGGAGGAGGAGAGGGGGACGGAGGAGGAGAAGGGGAAGGGCGGTAACCACTTTACTGTGTGTACACCGTCGGGCTGCCGACGACGACGACGCCGCTGACGTTGGTCAGAGTCCTCAGGGATGCTTCTTGGGGTCTAGTCGAAACGCTCTTGGGGGCCATGGGGGACAGTGTAGGGGTCTCTTGGGAGCCTCTTGGGGGCCTATTGGGGCTTCCCGGTGGCCTCTCGGGAGCAGCTTGGGGTCTCTTCGGGGCTTCTTTGGGGCCTTTTGGGGGCCTCTCAGTTTCTGCTGGGAGCACTCGGGGCGGAGGGCTCGAAATGTCCGTTTTTGGTCTGTCGTCCCGGCACTCTTGGAGCTGTTTTGGAGGCCTCTGGGGCCCTTGAGAGACGTCTTGGGACTCTCGTGGGCCGTGTTGGGTCGCTCGTGGAGCCGTCTGGGGATGTCTGGGGGCGATCTGGGAGGCCGCTTGGGCCGTCTTGGAGCGTCGGAAAGCCGGAGAGGCGAGAACGCCGAAGTCATTCAAAAACCTATGGGAATGCACGGTCTTTGTTCTTGAGGCACTTTTGGGACTGCTCCTGGCAGGGTTCCTGGGCCGTCTGGAGGCCGTCCAGGCGTCTTGGACAGATCGTTCGGCGATTCGGGGCCCTCGTGGACTGTCTTTGGGAGTTTTTGAGGCACTCTTGGCCCGTCCTGAAGTTTTTCGGCGGCCAGGGGAAGCGTACTTGACCTGGGTCCGGACCCGGGACCCCCCTTGGGACTCCCCCCCTCCCGGCGGGGGAGGGATCAAACGGAAGGGGCTTCCTTTCGAGTGTGTGACGACGTTACTCAATTTCGTTTTGGCTGACGCGCTTGAGGAGGGAAGCCCAGGAGGGGAGAGAGATGCGGTGACGGGCACAGGGAAAGGACTGCGCAGGGAAAAAGGACGACAGAGACGACGATGAACGAACGACGGCGACGACGACTCGAACACAAAAACCCTTCACACACGCCGACAGTGTCGGCGGATTCGATTCCGACTTCCCGATTCGATGCTGATTGATCTTGCTTTTTCCAGGGCGCGCGTGGCGCACCGCCGCCTGGAGTATGGGGGATAATGTCCAGTGCGGACCCAATACATCCGCTCTTACAAGTCTCGTCGTGTACGGTCGGGAACTTCAGCTTAGCGTGTCGATCCGCCAGTTCCATGGGTCAACATCCCGAGTTTTCCGGAGCCTCCCGCACCGCGGAGCGGAGCGACGCGCTATCCGCCTGCCAGGCATGTCGTGTTGCCAGGGCCGCCGCCGCAACACGCTATCCAACAATTCCTGATCGTAACGAGGCGAATGGGAGGTCGCGCAGCAGGGATTTGGCCACGCCCTCCAAAGTTGAAGCCGGTGCATCAGCGTGCGCGGGCGCGGGTCCATTCAACCAAGAGCCCAGCGCGCCCGTCAACGTTGAAGGGGCCGCTCAATATGGAACGCCTTGTGCGCTCATCCTCTTTCAAAGGGCCGCCCAGCGATGCCTTATCGTCCATGAACTGTCGTCCCGAGCCACCCAGCGTCGTCGCGTTAATTGCCACGATAATTTGCCTTCCGAAAATTGATGTTTGTTTAATGAAATGTTTGTTGCAGGCGTCGGAAGCAACGGCTTTTAAATTTTAGGAGCGGCTTCGGGCGACCGAGGGCGGCACGGACTCAGTCGAATTGGATTTGGGACTGGCCCGAGCAGGGACGAGTCCCGCAGGACCGGTGGGGCCGCAATCTCGGCTCGAGAAGAGGGGGGTGTGTTGCACAGATGGCTGACGCTGCCAACACGAAGGTGGACGAGGGGGCCGAGGCCAGGTGGTGCCAAGTTGACAGTGCATGATGGGAGGGCGGGTACGGGGCCAGGCGCATTGCAAACGTGTGTCTAGTGATGATACGTACACTTGCGGAGCCCGTGTGGTGCTTCGTCGGCAGATGGGGGTGAGCGGTGATGACAGGCTTATCGAGACAAGAATTTGGTTCGAGCGATCTAGCCAGTATGCTCTAGTCAGTGTGTGTGTGTGTGTGTGGATAGGGCCTTTAGCCCTCATGTCATGTCGCCTGCAGTTCCGCCACAGTCATCCCTCTTCCCACCTCCTTCCCCTCATACTCCTGCTCCCCTCCTTCACTCCTCGCACTCTCGTGCTCATCTTCACTCCCTCTCATTCACGTTTTCCTCATCCCCCTCTCCTTTTTCTTCTCTTCCTCCTCTTCTTCCTCCTCTTCCTCCCTCTTCATCCTTACTTTCCCTGTGATTGCAGAGCCCCTGTCAGCCTCTCCTCCTCCTGCGCCTCTCTCTGTACTCTCCTGTGCGCCGCCATATCGGCTCACAAGGGCCCTTGAGCTATCATGGCGCGCCGGTGGCGGACGCGCTCACGGTTCCGTAGAAAAGGAAAGTAAACGTGCTCTCTTCTAGCACGGGTCCCCCTATTTGTACTTCGCGTCTCTCTGTATCCATACAGCTGCACCCGTACAGTGGCAGCGGAACCTGTGGTTGGGATGCACGAGGGGAATCAGGACGACTCCCTTGTCAGTCGATTTTTGGGTGACATACCCTTTTCTATTTTCCTGATCTTCCCGCTCTCTACCCCATGTCCAGGCAACGCTCAGCTTCAAGAGTATGAACTTCCTGCATATCCTTGGTCACAGCCAAATCAGGATTCTTGGGCAGGAGCTGGATGACGACAAGCCTTTTTTTGGGATGGGGATGACGATGTGGGCTGGTCAGATCAGGACTGGGTCCGGTGGTTATCACAGCCATGGACGGAGACACGGCCTAATACGGAACAGTCCTCATCGGTTTGGACTGGGCGGGGACGTGGTTCGCCGGCTGCGCCAGATCGGTAGAACACGCCTCTGCGAGGACATGCTGTGCCTTTATTTCTTTTGTCCCGACCTGTTGGGGGGGGGGCCGCTGCCCGATCTTCTGATCGCCGACGGGAACAATTCCCTGAACAATCGAAGGCCCCAAATATGCCAAACGACCTACCTCCAATTTGGAACGGAAAAGATCCGGATTTTCGCCTAGACCCCTACATGCATGAAGGAGCTGCAGATGTGGTTCGCTACGGTTAGAACTTCGAAGGCGCACCGCGGGTATTTCATTTCCCGTTATGCCAAAGACGACCTCAATATCATCATTAACGAACTCATTTAGGACCAGTTGTCAGCCAAGGCCGGCGGGCAGGTTGTGATGACATCCAGAAGTCTTTTGCCGAGTACCAGGACCGCAGGATGCCGAAGGCTCTTGAGAAGCTCATCGGCTCAGAAGAGACCAAACATAAATGATAATAATCTTTGGTAAACTATATCGCGCGCAAGCGCGTGCTCTTCTGAGAACTCGAGAAGCACGTGATCCTGCCGGAGGCTTGAAAGGGCACGTGCTTCTGGGAGAACCCCAACTTAATGACGCGGCTTGGGATACAGTTGAGCATTGGACAGAAGGTCCGGCGACTTTGATTTGGCGCGCGAAGAACTTAGGAAGCCGGAGCGACCGATACCTTGTTGCAAAGGCGGCCATCGCATCCATGGCAGGAGACCATCTTCGCAAATTCTAGACGCTTCGCGTATCCCCACCAGCCCGTTCAGAAACGACGCCCAGGCGAGTAGAGGGTCGTCCTGAGGGGCTTTTCGGCGTCTTGGGTGCCTCGGGGGGGCCTCTGCGTGCCGTTCGGGATCCTCTTTGGGGCCTCCTGGGGGCCTCTTGGGGCCTCTTGGGGCCATCTTGGGGCCGCTGGGAGCACCTTGGGTGCCTCTGGGGGGTCTCTTGGGGCCTCTTGGGGGTCTCTTGGGGGCCTCCTGGGGGCCTCTTGGGGGGCCTCTTGGGGCCATCTTGGGGCCATTCTGCGGCCTCTTGGGGCATCCTGGGGGCCTCTTGCGGCCATCGTGGAGGAAATCGATCAAAGAAGAGGGGGGCCTTAATTAGCGTTGCCCCCTTCAGAAGGCCAAAATGAGGCCCAAACCATGATAAAATCAATGATTTTGGCTTCCTCGCCGAGGCCGTTTTGGACGCTCTGACCGCTTCCCGCCCCCCCTGTCCAGGTCAGTGGGGAGGGGGTAGGGGGAGGGGTAAACCCTTCCCCGAAGGGGAAGAAGGAGGGGTGGAAGAGGAAACTCGTTAAACCACCGACGCCCAGAGGGCTGGTGGGATTGTCGGACGCCAAGGAGACGATGATGGATGCGAGGACCAGGAAGAGGATCACGACGAAGTCCATTGAATTATCATGCAACAGTCTTTGTTTATTTTTCCCGAGGCCCATGAGGAAGAGGGGATCATGAACGAGGCCATCAATTGCGTGGACGATGGCGAGGTACTCTTCGCAGCTGGAGACTTGCCCGACGAGTTGGCTCCAGAAGAAGACGAGGCCGACGCCGTGTATTCCAGCGACAGCCAGGTGCGAGAGCACCTACACAAACGGAAGCTTGGGCGCGGATTTTTCAAAGAGCCCCCCCCAAGGGGAATGTCCAAAGGCTCCCGGAAGGGGAAGCGTCGAGGGAAAAGTGCGAACGTGCCCGACCGAAACGATGGGCCAAGAGTCACTTCATGAGCCGCTCGAAGTGCACCCGACGCGGGAAGATGGGGCGCTCTGCTCGAGACGGTGCGAACGAGCCCGACGAACGAGTGCGCAAGCGACAAGCGGGCTTCGGCGGCTTCCAAGCTTCTCCTCTTGAAGCAGACGATGCTCTGCATGGCGTTTGCTAACGGGAATCTACGATCCAGTCTGGAGTCAGTTCCTTCGCCTTTCCTACCTTTGCTACTACCGACACTGGGCGCCAGGTTTTGATTTGACTTCAGGTTCAGATGGGTTTCGGTTTGGTGGGCGCTGGAACTCAGCGCGGAGTGCGCGGCGCAGATGAATTCGGCACAATGGTGAAATGTCTTGGCGGTTCCTAAGGCCTGATGCACACGCAGGTTCCCGCCGTGGAAATGGATGCCATGGGCGATGGGGGATCCACCAAGTTTATCTCCGGCTGGGCACTACCTATCGCCGCGGCAAAGATTTTTAATGCTCTTGCGGTGCAGTTAATTGCCTGTGGCGCGTCCTTGTTATTCCCGGTGGAGATGCCCAGACAGCTCGGCATTGTTTTTGGTGTACCAGGTGGCGGTGTCACTTGGCAGGCGCTCGACGGCAGCCAGTCGAGAGTCTACGAGGTAGGGGCAGGCAAACACATCGCGATCAATATCGATGGTTTTCCCGAGGAAGATTGGCAGAGGAAGAAGAACATCATAACAGTCTCTCCCGAGACTCAGGGGCGCTGCCGAGCGGTCGAGACTGGGGGCGCCGTGTTCTGGGCGCATCCGCGGGCGCCCTCGGCTCAAACTTGTTTTCCTCAGCCGACCGCCTGCCCTCCCCCCCGCGCCCCGGCCCCTGCCGGAAAGGGGCCGCAGCGGGAACCTCCGACGAGGTCAAGTCGGCCCGCGATGACCCCAGAGTAGCGGACGTGGAAATTGAAGTAGTTTGGACCGCGCGGCCACGAAGCGCCGCGCGGATGCCCGCGTCGCGGCCGACGCCAGCGAGAACCTGCTCGGGGGCGCCAGGGGCCGGGATCAGGGGGCGGCATCATCGCCGCACCGCCCTCGCGACCAACGACCCTTCTCCCGAGCTCTGGAGATCAGCAGCGGGGGTGGTTCACGGTGGGCAGGGGGCTGGGGCCCGACGGTTCGGGGGCCAAGAATATCGATCAGTCCCTGCGCATGCGCCCCGAGAAGGTCATGCGCCATCGGGGCAACAACAGGACATTGTGGTGCACGCGCGACGACTGCCAGATGTGCTGGGCGAGGCTCTCGATTGACGGTTTCATCAGCACTGGCGCCCCAGACCGCACGGAACGAGCGACATTCGTGAGGTTTGCGGGTTGCGTTGTCGAGCAGATCTACGAGATGGACTTCCAGCGCTGCGAGCGGCGCACGAGGACTCGCGAATCGGGCGGCCCGGTGTCACATCGACATGCCCGATGCCTGGTCACGCGCGCGGCCGAGCGCGAGATGTGCGAGGGCAGCTTGGGCGGGGCGGCTGCGAGACGGTCGTGGAGGAACGCGACGCATGATGGGTTCGTGGGCAGAAGATGTTTTCAACGGTTGCAGTGCGCATGCCCGAGTGCACCAGAAACCCCGCGAGGTTTTTCTCGTGCAAAATCCGACCGAATCCGTCGGCCCCCCATCTCCGGATGATTTTACCGACGAGCGGATGACAGGTACTCTATTCAGATGGCATTGCTGCATTCATTCAGGGTGCGTGGTCTGAACTGTCTCCAGTTCGTATTTTGGACAAGAAATGGATTGGCCGTGCTCTCTTCTATCGCAAGGCTGCTACAAACGCAAGGTTCGCTGGTGCGTTGCGGGCAAGCATCTGTCCTCAGAGTGCTTGTCTCAGTCTGGTTTGGAAATTGGTTTCTCCAGATGCTACTCATGTAAGCCTGGCTGGTCCAGCATTTGATGCGCGCGCGGCCATGCTACGAGGCATTCAGGCGGCCCCTGGCAATCCGCCACTCCACAGGTTTCGGTCGAAGCGGCGGAGGCGAGAAGAGGATAATGGCGATTGATTCTGTGGCAGACCACCAGCGGGGCCCACGCTCCATCTTCGGAGCTCGATGAGGACAGCATTGGAAGAATCCCGCAGCAAAAGGTTAGACAGATCAAGCAGGCACTTTTAGTAAACCATGCCAGTCTTAGTCTTCCTTTGGGAGCAGCGTCTGAAGAAGATGGGCCTGGATAAATTCCCGTCGACGATCCTGGCGCCTAACCTGATAGCGACGATGAAGTGCCTGCTCAGCCAGACTGTACACCGACTGCCGATTAGCTGGCCGCTCTCA